ATGGAACACAGATATGTGACAGCAGTCAGTGCCCCACAGTGGACTATGCCAGCATCAGACCTGACTCATGCCACCCAATACTCCTCGCACACCCTCTGGAGAGTGTAGGGGGTGCTGCATAGAGAAGGACCAACTCAAGCTAGGTAGACAATTCAGACAGAGGGCTCAGCAAGTACAAAGCCACGTGGGCAGCTGGAGATTAACTCTAAGCATATGATTTCATGGGTGGAGCCCAGGGTACTGTAGTTGGTGGGGACAGCATTTGGTGTGGCTTGAAAGTCCTATCTGTTAGGCCCTGAGCTGCCCATTTGCATCTGTGCCCCCTCCCTGCTCAGTGCCCTCCAGCAGGCACACACATAGAAATTATTTGATGAAAACATCCAACCAATGGGGCCTCCCTGGTGGCGCAATGGGCTGAGCAACATACTATGAAGCAATCTGCAGCCTTTGCAGCATGAGTTCGATCCCCAGCCGGCCAGGGAGCAACCCACATGGCGAGGCAGACTTCTCCTGTCACGCCTGCTGCTCCCCTCACCAGTGTGTTTCAGTCAGTCTGCCTGTTCTGTTCCCCACTCTGTCTCTGGTGAATCCTTTCACACACACACACACACACACACACACACCGCCATCTCAGGCTTGTACCCCAGCTCCTGTATGCATACATAAATAAGTCTTAAAAAAAAAAGAAAAGAAAAGAAAACATCCAACCAAGCTCACAACTAGGCACCTGGGACACTGATATATCAAATGACTCATTGCCGTATTTTCTTTTTTTTTTTTTTTATTTTATTTTTTATTTAATAGAGGCATGTTTATTTATTTATTTGTTTGTTTGTTTGTTTGTTTTATACGTGCACTGGGTACAGTCAGAAGCACGGGAGGGTGAGAGAATTCACCAGAGCCAGAGCGGGGAGCAGAACAGGCAGACCGACGAAATACACTGCTGAGGGGAGCAGCGGGCGGCAGGAGAGGTCTGCGCGCCATGTGGGACCCTCCTCTGGTGGCCGGGGAGCAGCCGGGGATCGAACCAGTGCCGCAGAGGCCGCGGGCAGCTTCGCAACCCAGGGCTCAACCGCTGAGCCACCGGGGAGGCCCCGTATTTTCCATGTAGACCAAAAGTCCACATCACTTTTCACACAGAGTTCTTGGAAATCTGCTTTCTTGTTCTACTTCTTACTTGCAATTTTGATGTACTACTTCTAACCCTCAATTCTATAAGCTGTTAAAAACTACACTGTATCTCCCCCCGCCCCACACACACATCAACCTCTTCTAGCCACCATGTAAGTAATAAAAAATAATCCATGGCACAGAGCAGGTTTTCTTTCAAAAAAGACCCAATTATTGAAGATCTATTGTAGACTAAGCAGAAATCATAAATAGCCCAGTTTTCTGCAGCTGAAAGGAATTAACCACATAGCATTCAAGAAAACTGGGTGCCTGCAGAGGAAACATTCAGTCCCCAGGGTCGAAACTGGGGTAAGTCTGTTACCAGGTCCATCAACACCAGGGCAGGGCATTTCAGGGAAATGCTGGGCTGCACAGGCCTCCCTCACTCAGGGCATGACCCCGACATACATGGAGGATAGAGGCCAAAACCCTACCCGTCAGATTGCTAATTGTTATTTGTAAGAACTATCACCGTGAGTGAGGGGTACCTGAGGCTGAATGGTTGTCACTGGAGAAATTCAAGCAGAGACAGAGAGCATCTTGCACTATAAGGGAAGAAAGACTTTGGGGGTGTAGGTGGGAAGGGTAGAGGATTGGAAGAAGAAAAAAAGAATCTGAAGGAAAAAACTGATGTTTGTAGGGCCAGGACTTTCCTGATCCAGGCCTGTAACCTCACTCCAGGAGATTCCCAGCCCTAACTGCCTATGTCCCACTCTCTGATCTGTTTCCCAATCCCCTCAGCTTTCTGGAATCTTAGCTCTGAATTCTAGGCCTTTACCCCAGCAACCCCACACCACCCCAAATAAAAGAAAAAAGAGAGAGAAGAGGCAACCCAAGAGTGTTCTAAGTTTCATTCCTTGTCCCTTTAATTTAAAGAAACAGGACTCAGAGGGTTCTAGAACCAATACTAGGACCCTGAGTTCTGCAGATCACTGTTTCCGAAGCACCAAGGAAGAGCTTGCCTTCACCCCAGAGTCCCTTCTTTTTCTTTTTTTTAAATATTTTAAAAAATGTATTTATGCACACAAGAACTGGGGTATGGGGGAGGGGGAGTTGAGAATTCACCAGAGTGGGGGGCTGAAGCAGCGGATCTAGTGAAACACACTGCTGAGGGGAGCCTCGGGAAAGACAGGAGAGGCTCCAGACCCCTTCTTGGTTGGCCTCGTTCACTGAGTAGGGGAAGGCCAAGTCCGAGACCCCTCCCTCACCTCCCTGCTTACAGGATGCAGAGGTGGGGTGAGGGACCTCCCAGGGGGTAGGTCTAGTCCTGAAAGTGTTAAGGGGCTCTCCCCCACCCTCAGATGAGAGAAAATGAAGGTGTCCGGGAAAGGGCATGGTGGTGATGACGGGTCTGAGTGGGTGGGTGTGAACAGGGCCTAGAAGAACGGGTTAATGAGGTTAGAATATGGGGGCTCAGTTTCCGGAGAGGGACCTCGGGCGCTGACTCAGCGGAGCCCGGGTTCAGGGTGGTCCTGGCCGAACCCCCGCCTTCCCTGTTCCCAGGGTGCCCTCTGAAGCCGCAGAGAGCTTTGATCCAGGGTCCGCCGACTCTCAGCTGGGCCGGCCAGATGGGTGGGGGAGGGCCAGGGCGCAGGCGCCACCCCTCGGCTGCCCGCACCACCCCTCCAGGGCACCGGGACTGCTTCCGGCTGTTGCAGGGGGCGCCCGACCCGCCACCCCTTCCCCTCCCCCTCCCTGCCTTGCAGCTGTTCCCCAGCTGCCCGGCCCCACCCCAAAGACAGCTGGGAGAGTGGCTGGGGCCGGGGAGCGGGGCGCAGCTGCTCGGCTCTGGGGCGGGGACCCGGAGGGCAGCGACTTGAAAGAGCTGAGGCCGGCGGGGGTGGCGGGGTGAGGGACCCCCCGCCCTCAGTCCCCCGCGGTGTCTCCTGGGCTCCACACATCTGGGTCACAGGAGTCGCCGCCCCAGTTGGTGGGGCGGGGGAGAGCCGCCCCGGACACCCTGGACTTCCCGGAAAGGGGGCAGGAGGGCGGCACCGCCTAGGGTGTGAGTGCCGGTGTCGGAGCCCTCAAAGGAAGGAGGCTCAGGGTACGCGGCGTGCAGGGAGGTGTCTGAGTGTGCACACAGCAGGAGGACGGCCCCTTCAAGCTTCTCCAGGGATGGCTGTCCTAGGGCAGCTCTGGTTTTCTGGGCCTCCTGACCCTTTTGGGAGGTGGGTGACAGCTGCTCCTACAAAGCCAGGGACAGCTGGGTGACTGGGGATGGCTGGATGGGGTTAGCATCTCCCTGTTTCCCTGGCAGCTCTGAGCTGCAGCCCCAGGCCCTACTGTGGCAGCTGGCTGCTCTGCCTACAGCCTGTGTGCTGGACTATGTGATTGTCTGGGTAGGCTTTCAGGGCTGAGACCTGGTAAGGGTCAAGTCCATCCCATCCCCCCTAGATCCCAGGCTAATAGATAAACCTGGAGAAAGAACCCCTCCCATCAATTAAAATAAAATCAGGCCAAGTGGGAAAGAATTGGGCAGTTTTTGGTCTTGACTCCTAACTTTTGGCACAGTTGTTCCAGGGTTCCTGACAACCAGAGGAAGGAACAGTGAGACAGGAGCAGATGTGAGAGTCGTTAAATGTCTATTTGTCCACCAGCACCTGCCCCCAGGCATCCTTCCACCCTGGGCTGGAAGGGCACTATGCTCCAGCCATCTGCCCCCTTTAGCCCCAAACAGGTGCAGAGGAACAGAAGGGGGCAGACCAGCTGTTGTAATGCAGCTCCTGGCTCTGGTTCTGTGCAGGGGGTGTATTGGAGCCAGGGTCCCTGCACACACACACAGTCATGTTCTACTCCCTTGGGACAGGAGAGAGGCACTTAGCAGGACCTAGACTCTGTGGTTTGGTCTGGCCAACCAAAACAGCAGGAGACATGGCCTCACTACCTCCAAATCTGGGTCCTTATTTTTCTGAGGTGACTCAGGGTTGGTGAAGCTTGGACCCCTGGCACAGGACTTACCCACAGTTCCCTGTTTCCTGGGTTGGGAGGCATTCAGGTCCTAAACAATCAAGGATGAGAGAAACAGGCACCCAGCAGATTGCCCCTCCTACTAGTGCAGAAGGGCCTAGGTAGCTTTACAATACGAGCAGATCCACTTGAGATATCAGGCAACAAACCACTCACTCCAACAGAGAACTTTGGAGTACCCCAGCCCCTCCTTTCACCCCAGGGGTTCGCAGCAAGGATCCCAGCCAGACCATTTCTGGAGTCTAAGTAGGGGAGGCAGGGGCAAGAGGGGTCAGGAATCAGCCCTTTTAGCTCTGCAAACATGCTAGAAACTTTGAGATGTCGAATGTTTTCTTCATCTTGCAACCTACCCCTACATGTTCTTTCTCCATGGTCCCGAGTAGGGGCCAGACCCCTAATCACTGAAAGAACCCCCTCTCCTGTGGGGGCCAAGGCCTACTTAAACTACATTCCAAGAGGACAGGGTTGGCGTTTCTGTGTCCTTGCCCAGTGCCTGCCACTTAGCATGTGCTCAATAAATATTTGTGGACTGAGGAAGTAAACTTTGCAACTCATAGAAAGGTATTTTTTTTTCTTTGTCTGTCCTCACTAAGAGCATGTTGGCAGAACCTCAAAGAGATGCCAGGGCCCATGCAGCAGGGGGCTGGGCCTCGGAGGCCCTCAGCAAATATTTGTCAGATGAAGCCAAGGCTGAGAGTAGATGTAGTTAATGCCTGACAAATTGACATTCACAGCCCTGACACAAGGTAGACCCAGGACAGAATCAGGGTAAGGAAGGCCCTAGAGGGTCCCCCCCCATGCCAAAGCCTGAAGACCTCAGGCCTGGGGGGAGTTGGGGCTAAGAGGCGAGGCAGGGAGTAGGACTGCGCCATTATATTTATTAGAAGGTTGGATTTCCTTGTGTGCTCTTGACAGATTACAGAATAAATACCTGGGCCTTGAGAACAGGAAATTCACGATTCATACAAAGTGCTCACTACAGGAAGTTGCTGTGTCAAAATCCAGGCAAGGACCCAAATCGGGCCAGCCCCCCTCCCCTGCTGACCTCAACAAGGCCTGTGCTGTTGTTTTTATTTTATTATTTCTTTTATTTCTCTTTATTATTATTAATATTATTATTATTTGCTCTTGATGTCATCAGTATCATTGGCAAAGTTCCTTTTCCCCTTCCCTGGACATGGGGTTCCTGTCTTTAAGATTCCACTCTGAGGCTGAAGGTGCCAAAAGCTGCTTGAGAAGTGGCCTTTGAACTCCATCTGGGAGGATGGTGAGAAGAAGCAGGAGAAAGTCTTGGTTTTAAAAAAATTGAAAAAAAAAAGTCCCACAATGTACAGGTCATTCGTCATGTCATTCCTTAGTCATCGCTCAAACTGCCCCAAAGAAAATCAAGAGGAGAAACAGGCCGGAGGGCCCTGGTCCCTCCTCCCAGACTGAGCGAGGTGGGCTGGACACTCCCTGCCCTTCTCCCCAAGGCTTTAGGGGAAGCTAAGGCTCCTTCCAGCCAGGGGGATGGGAAGGGGAAGGAGCGGGAGAAAAAGGGGGGGAGTGGGAGAGAGAGAGAGAGAGAGAGAGAGAGGGAAGGAGAGAGAGAGAGAGGGAAGGAGAGAGAGAAAAAAAGAGAGAGCTCAGCGCCTTGAGGTAGACGCTTTCCCAACTCCAGGGCCACCTGCGGCCCAGCCCAGCCAGCTCCCACTGTCACCTCCGAGTCCAGGAGTCATAAAAAATGAAATCAAAAACAAAGCCCCAAACAAAACAAAATCCAAAAGGAAAAGACTTGGGGAACAAAGGAGAAGGGCGAGAGGACAGGAAGGAAGAAGGGCAGGTCTCTGGATGCATAATTCCGGAGCCACTGGGGGCGAGGGGGGAACATTCCCCAGCGCCCCATCGCCCGCGTGGCGTTAGCTCGTCACGTAGTGTTTGGTGGACGGCTGCCCATACACCCTGTAGAAATCCTGGTGGCCAGGCTGCTGGGAGGCATCGAGCCAGTCTCTGACCGCCAGGCCAGGAAGGGACTGGGGGACGGAGGGTGTGGGTGGGAGTGGGTGTGAGTACTCTTGTGAGGGCACTGTCCAGGGGAAGTGGCCGGAGCGGGGATAGGGCTGGTGGCCGCCATGGTTGGCCACGGAAGAACAGTAACAGTTGTCCACAGAACAGACGAGAATCTTGCGGCCGCCATACTGGGGGAGCATGGGCTGCTGGGCAGCAGAGCCATTGGGGTACTGCGACGGGGGGAACACAGGGCTTGAGTGCACTGGTTGGGCGCCGCCCGGCAGGGCCACCAAGTGCTGCGTGGAGCTGCAGGGCCCCAGGGGCTGCCCTGACTGGCCCTCGCCGCTGGCTGTGCCCGCTGCCCCATACTGGCTGCCCACCGGGCCGGATGACGTCTCTAGGAAACTGGCCTCAGGGAAGGCCGTTGAGTGCTTGCGCTTTTCCGCCCCAGAGCTGCTCACGCCACAGGGATACAGGGGCACGCTCTGCAGGAAGGGCACCGGTGTGCTGAAGGGGCCTGTGGAGAGTTTGGGGCAAAAGTCGCCAAAGCTCCCAACCCAAGCAACCCAAACCTCCTCTCCCAGGGAACCTTTTTTCCATTTACAGGACCAAGCATCATGCATCATGCAGCATCTCTGCCCATGCTCCCTGCTCCACAGGACATTGTTCTTCCCATTTTACAGCTGAAGAACTGAGGCCTGTGGAGTTAATACCGCTTGTCCAAAGCTCCAAAACTAGAGGCGGCAAAGCCAGGATATAAAGGAAAATCTATTTGGCTAAAGCCACACGGCCTCTCAGAGAGAAGGCTCTAGCATTTGCCCCTGTCCAAAGAGCTCTCTCCCCTTGATTGAGAACCTCACCCTCACCTTCTAGCATCTTCCGGAGCTGCTTCTCCTTCTTGGCCACTTCATTCAGGAAGAGCTTGGAGTTCAGGTGACCGATCTTAGGGGGAGAAAGGCTGCTGCCCGTGCAGGTCTGGGTCCTGGGGGCAGTGGACGGGGCATCTGCTGTGAGGAGGTATCACCGGTGAGCCCGCCCTACCTCCCCCCGTGGGCCTGGCCCACCCTGCTCTCCCCCAGACGTGTTTCCCTGAGGGCTGGGGGTCATCTGCTCACCTGTCCATTAGAATTTTCACAGACTTGGTGTTCTGTGGGAGAGAGAAAAGGGTTAATCATCGGGAAAGGCAGCATGGATGAGAAGCTGGAAGCTGCCCCAGCTCCCAGCAGGGCTGACCCTCTGATTCTGGCTAGAGTGGAGGGGTAAGGAGGTGTCACCATTTTTAGAAGAATAGCTAGCATTTAGGGGGCCTCCCTGATGGCACAGGGGTTAAAGTCTCAACGCTATCGAGCTGTCACCAGCCACTGTGGCATGGATTTGAATCCCCGGCCAGGGAGCTGACTCACAGGGCGCAGCAGACCTCTCCTGTCTCACCCACTGCTCCCCTCAGCAGTGTATTTCAGTACATCTGCCTGTTCTGCTCCCCACTCTCTCTCTAGTGTATCCTCTCACCACCCACACCTATGACCTGCACCCCAGTTCTTGTATGCATAAATAAATTAAAATAAATCTAAAAAAAAAAAAAGAATAGTTAGCATTTATTGAGCACTAACTATGTAACATACACCATTTGGGTTTTCTACACATCCATCATCTTACCCACACAACTATTCTCAGAGGAGGTTCTATAGGTACTCAGTCTTTTTCAGAAGGAAAATATGGTGCTTGTACTGTATACCCCCAAGAAGGACACCATAATGTAATACACCAATGTTTCACCAGCAAAATATTTGAATATTTATATGACATGAGATCAAGATCATAAATAAAGATCATAAAATGCAGATCTACTTTTGCTGTTATATGATTGCCAATTTTTTTTTCTTTCAGCTTTTAGAGATTTTTAAAAGCTGGAATTATAGATAAAGGGCAGCAGACGTGTATTCCCATCTTATAAGTAAGGAAACGAAGGCGCAGGAAACATACATGACTTGCCTAGATCACAAAACTAGAAAGAGCAGGGAGGGAGGCTTTGAATCCACGTACACTGGTAAAGCAAAGAGCGCAGGAGCATACTGGTGGGGAACTGGTTAGGGAGCAGAGAACTGCAGACCCCAATTTGGGAGTGGCCTCTGGGTCCCACCAGCTGGCATCAGGCCCAACCCACCTTCATGAAGCTGACATCCTCTGTCTTGTCAAAGAGCAGCTGCAGGGAGCCCAGCAGCTTTTTGGCCTCTTGCATACGCTCCCCAAGGTGCAGCGCCTGCGCTGCGTTCTCGCTGCAGAACTTGGCCTGGGCCTTGTCCAAGACCTCCACCGTCTGCCGCAGGTCCTCATCCAGCAGCTGGTGCAGCTTCTCGTACTGCAGCCGCACTTCCTCCTTCAGCTGGCTCACCTTCTCCTGCGGACATGGTGGGCAAGAGTAGGTGGGCAGTGAACATGGGAATCTCTGGCTGCTATTCCCACCTCTCACATTCTGGATGGCGGAGCATGGGACCCCAAATCCCCAGGCTGCCTAGAGCTCCCAGGGTAAGGTCTGACCAGTGGGGGCTCATCCACTGACTGCTCATTGAATGAATGAGCAAGGAACACCATACAGTAGACACTCAGGAGGGAACCAACCCAAGGCCCTCCACCCAAGCTGCCCACAGCCCATACTGTGGGCTTGGGTTTAGCTACCTCTACCAGGCGCTTGTCTGACTCAAGTTTGTACAGCTGGTCCTCAATGTCCTGCTCTCGTTCCTCCAGCCGGTCCTGCTGCTTCATCAGCATCTTCTGTAGGAACAATTGGGACAAGGTCATCAAAGGGGTCTGTAGCTGTCCCTGTTACCAAGGGTGGGCGAGCCCCATTCTGCTCTCGTTAGAATGGATCCTTCAACCTATGGATCCTATGGATCCTTCGACCCAGATAACCTCAAATATCTTCTGTTCAATCCATTGTGACCCCCATGCAATGCTAAGGGCCTGCTGACAGCTGTCTGACCAGCCTATTCCCAGCCACAGAAAGCCTGGAATAGCCTCCCACACATATCTAAACCAAGAGCTTTCTGAAGGCAGGGTCAGGCTGGTCTCTCTAAGCACCTTTCCTGTATAGATGTATCTAATCATTCCAGTAATGCTGTTAGTACTATTATTATCCTCTCAGATAAGAGGAAACCAAGGCTCAGAGAGGTTAAGTAATTCATCCAAAATAACAGGTACGTGGCAGAGCTGGCATATAAACCCAGGTGATTTGGTGGTAGGGTGTCTTCTTATCCAGTTATGCTACCTCTCTCTGGTGAGCCCCATCTTAGAGATGAGTACCCTAAGATACAGAGGATCAATCTTGCAAGGTCACACAGGCCCTCTGACCAAATCCAGAGATCTCACCCCAAATTTGCCTTACACTTGGGGGCATCAAACCAACCACCCCTCCCCTTGTTCTGGACACTGCAAGCTAGAGCATTAGGCCCTTGCTAGCTCCTCTGGCCCCTCAGCTGGGAGGGAGATCTAAGTGGAGGGACCCTGGCTTTGCTAACACCAGTCTGTGCTGCGCCAAGCCCTTCTCAGCCTTTAATCTCCTGCAACCCCCTCTTCTCCCAGCCCTGCCCATCTCCCCTCCATCATCTACCCTGTTCCACCACCCCGTCACCCCCCTCACTAGACATCCCTCTTCAGTAAGAGTCTCTCCCCAGCTCTAGAACCCTTAGCGACTCCCTCTTGTCAAACAAGGCTCCCTCACTACCTGACTCTCCCAGCCAGGCGGGCTGGTATCCATTTGAACTCCCTGTACACTGTCAGTGCTTTTCTGCAGCTCACAGTGACTCCTCCCGCCACTTGTCTACCCTTCAGGGCCCAACTTCAGGCCCTACTCCTGTAGGAAACTGTCGGTGGCCCCGTGGCCCTGGCTCTGAGTCTGTGCAGGTCCCTCCTGCCCTGCTCATGCAGGGAGGCTGCCACATTCTGTCCTCCCTCTGTAGCTGTGCTGTCCAACAGAGTAGCCATTAGTCACATATGGTTATAAAAGTGAATTAAAAGTAAATTAAATTAAACATCAGCTTTTCAGCTACATGAGCCTCATTTAAGTTTTCAATAGTTATATGTAGCTAGTGACTAATGTATTGGACACCACAGACATAAAACATCACCATTGTCAGAGAAAGATCTCCGGGACAACACTGCTCTGCAGTCTGTCTCATAAACCCTGGTCTGATAGCCCCACAAAACTCAAGGTCTCCTGAAAACAGGGCTTGGCTGCTGTCTTTCTCCACCTCCCTTCCAAGGCAGCCCACACACACAAAGTCACCCCACAGATGCATAACATGTTCTCTGAGTAAATCCATGGGTTTTACACACAAAATAAGGTTTGCAAAATAGATCGCACAGAGCCTAGCTTCCAGTACATGTCCACTCACCAAAGAATGGTTCCTTTTCTTCCTGTGTGCGCCTCAGAGTGACCCTCAAGTTTGACCCCATGACTGCTACACCTACCCACACCCAGCTGGTTCCCCAAAGACAAGTGCCACTGAGTCCTTCCTCTTTTCCCCAATCCATTTTACATAGAGGGAAAGCAAGGTCAGCAAGAATTTGGTCAGACCCCATTTGTACTGGTGGCTACCCTGGACACACACACAAAAAAAAACAGGATCCTGTGGGCAGGAGAGTTGGGGCTGGGGTTCTCAGAATCTATGCTGGGGAAGCCAGGGGCACCCCGCTGAAAACTTGACCTTTCAGTGACCCAGGACAGGACCTCTAAAATCTAACCCAAGGAGACCCTGCCTTCCAGCAGGCCCCATCCTCAGCTCAACAAACATAGCAGACACCAGCCAGAGAGTCAGAATCTGAAAAGCAGCAGCTGAGTAGGGGCAAGATGGAGGTAGCCATGCATCCTCCCACCTGTGAAACTGCCCACGGGTACGTGGAGGGCACAGCACCCCAAAGTGACAGCCAGACATACAAATGCAACTGCACACACACACGCACAAGGGGTCACCCGGGCTCTGCACACACCCACCGAGGCACAGGTACCAGAGCCCAGGCCCCTGCACCCGAAGGTTGACGGCCTTAGGGAACAGAAGGGGCCTACCATAAAGGGGGGTGGACAGGACACCTCTTCAGGAACACTAGGCCTTCTGACTCCCCTGCAACAACTGGCCCTCAAATTCTTGCCTGCTGGTTGCCTTATATCTGCACTCAGGAGGGTAGAGCCCCCCTAGATGCACCTCAGACACTAGGCCACTCTCGCCTTCTTGTGCCCAGCATATCTGAAAACCGAGGCCCCCAGCCACACTCACATCTGCGTACCTATGGTCTCCCTGCCCAACTATTTCTTTTTTTTTTTTTTTTAATTTTTTTTATAGAGGCATGTTTTATTTATTTATTTGTTTGTTTGTTTTTTTGTTCATACATGCACTGGGTACAGTCAGAAGCGCGACCCTGCCCAACTATTTCTCATGGCCGAACCCATTAGGAACAGACAAGGGTGCCTGGGGGACTGAGACCCAGGCAGGGGCAGGAAAATAGCAGCCCCAGCTTCCCACCCCAATTTCCCTGAGGGAAGAAATGGAGCCATCCTACTCCTACCCTCCAGACCCCCATCAGGGAGTTCATGGCTGATCCTCAGGGCAGAACCAAGAGAGGTACCTCCTGCCCAATCCTGGGCGGGTGGGGCTCAGTCCCTTCCTTCTTTCAGGCTTTTCTCCAGGCAGCATTCTTCCCTGAAACCCTGCAGTTCCTCCTTGAGTTTCAGAGTCCCAGGGTCTGGTCCCTGCTGCCCAGAACCCTCTGGGGTGGGAGCCCAGAGAGGCCCAGAGAAAGCAATGGCCATATTCCCTAGCAGTTAGACAGGTTTGTTTCTCCTCCCCTAGCTGGGAGGCCACCCAGGGTCCCGTCTCCACTACAGGGCACGGGCCGAACAGGAATGGGAAAGAAACTGGCCAAGAAACCCAGAGAAAGCTAGGAAGAAGACCCACATTGGCCAGCTCATCCTTGCAGGGGCTGCATCCCTCGAGGCCAGGTGATCTTAATCCCACCACAGACAACACCACTTGGGGAAGCAGAGGAGTGGGAGGGGCCAGTGGGAAACTGGGGGAAGCGGGGTAAGACCTATTGTGCCCCTTCATTATCCTTCACCTTGATTTCACAAAAATAATTGAAACATGATGCTGAAAAGCTGGAGAATGGGCCTGGACCCTTCCTCACTACAAGCAGGTTCTTTTCCATCCCAACCCCCAGGGAACCACTAAGAGCTGAGGCTTCATGTCCCACCAGGGAAAATCCCACAGCTGAGACAGAACCAGATTTCCCAGTTTAATTCAGAGCAAGGGCTCTCAAAGCCGGGGGGTGGGGGGGGGTGGGAGTTGGGGTGGGGGTGGGGATTGCTGCTGCCACTCACGGCCCACAGGTGAGTCACCTGTACTCTGGCTCTCCTCGAGTGCCCAAGCAGAGTGGATTGGGAAAGCAGGGCCTATGCTGGAAGCAGCTGAAGGACCAGGCCCCCAGCAGGTGAAGGCCAGCCCCACTCAGCAGCCCTTGGCCCAGGAGGCATTTGCTCGCTCCAGTCCCTGTCTGGCCCTTAGGCCTAAGGCTTTTCATGGCTGTCTCCTGGGCCTGTGAGGACAAAAGCATCAAGACTTGGGGTCACACCTCCACCCAGAATATCCTGCTCCTCATACTTATCCCCCAATAGGATAGACTCTGTCTTGGGCTGCTTCCTCTAGGGCCCCTCCCAACCTGGAGAAGGGGCTTTCCTGCTCCCCCTGGAAAGCCTCACTTTTCTCTGGAGTCTGATTGTCCAGGCCCAGCTGGCATTTTTTGATGCCAGACTGGACTGGGCAAACGAGTGAGGCCATGGGGACACTGGGTATATAAAAGTTAATAAATAATAATAATAAAATCCTCAAGTCAACCTTGAAGAGAAGCAAGGTCAGAAGGGAAGAGGGCCCCAGAGGCTGGGCTGGAGACAGGTCTGAGGTTTTCAGACAAGACCAGGGCTGGGTCCAGCAGCCCCTGTGGTGGGGGGTGGTAAAATGAGCCCAGGAAAAGGGAGCTGGGCTGCTGGAGCACCTCCTGCTGCTCAGGTCCCTGTCCAGATGACTCTCATGCCAGCTTCAGCTCTGGCTGCAGCCCCTGCTCCCTGCTCAGGCCTACCCCGTCGTGACCTCCTCCCCCAGCTGCCAAACTTATCCCCACACCCAATCTGAGACCTTATCCCAGGAGCACAATGGCCTCCTCTCTTCTGGGTCACAGGGCTCTTCCCTGGTCTCAGGGCAGTTTCTGGCTGCCTTACATCCCCTTTTCCGTGCACCAACCCCTGCCTTGAGCTACCGTGTGAACCCCCTCCCCAGTGGGACAACCACAGACCCAGAGAGAGGAGGCTGCAAGGTAGGAACCAGGGCAAGGAGGCAGCGCCTGCAAGGCAAGCCCCAGCAGACCCCAGAGAGGGTTTCCCAGCTGCAGAGTGGAATTAGCTTTTGCCACGCAGAGAGCAGCGCTCTGGGGCAGCAGAACAAAGAGGCGGCGAGAAAGCCCCCCTTTGTCTGGGTTTGAATGCCAGGCCAGTCGGAAGGAAGGGAAGGAAGGCTTTCCCAGAGCCAGGCCGAAGCCAGCCAGGCTGCCTGCTCAGCCCAGGGCAGGGGCCCAAGTAGGGTTACCTTCTCCTTACATCCACCCAGACTGTCCCCAGCACAGAGGGGCAGGAGCCATCTGGGTTTCTACCTCCAATACCTGCCATCTGCAACAAACTTGCCCTAAGGTGAATTCCACCTCCCCTGCCCCTCCCCAACACCCCCACCAGGTGAGAAAGCCACACAAAATTCACAACCACCAACAACCACGGCCTGGACAGGCAGGCACACTCAGGCACTGACTTGTGTGCACACTCGACTGTAACTCGCAGGTGCATGGCAAGCAGGGCACGCAGACACCCTCTTTTCTCCCCCCCACACGGGCATGGCTTCCTGCCCCCACAGTCACACAAGACAGCTACATAAATCAGTCAGTTGCTCACACTGCATCTCCTCAGAGATAGACACGTGAGATACGAAAAAATCAGTCATAAGTGAGCTCCACAAGGAGACACACTGGTTACTTACACACACTCACACTCACACCTGCACAGGCTGCTCAGAGCTGCAGGAGGCTGAGAAATCAATAGGGTGTGCATGACAGACACCGGGCTGTGTCAGCAGGTCCCAGGGTGGGGGTGGGGGAGAGCTGGACCTCTGCCTGAGACTCCCCTCTGCCTGGTGCCCAGGGAGGCGGGCTGAGTCAGGGTCCCCTTCTGTGCAGACTCGATGGGCAAGTGGCAGCTACATGACCCTCACACCTTACGAACACACAGCCTCCCCACCCCAGCTCTCTTCATGCCTGAGACCTCAGGAGTACTGAGTGGGAGGTGGCGATAGGATCTGCCCTGCCAGAGTCAGCTGGGCCTGGCAGCCTTATTCCCATGCCTCACTAGGAAACAGACACACAGGATGGAGAGCCAGGGTCCCCTCCAGGGTCCCCATGCAACCCCTCAGGGGCCAAGTGAACAGGGTAACCTCATTCCCTATAGATACACCCACAACCTGGCCCGACCAGTGGGGTCCCCTCCCCAGAGAATGTCTTTGCAAATCTAACCTCTGAGAATGCAAGGGTCCGAGGAATGGCCAAGGGGCACAATTATGATGGCACAAACTCAAAAACACACACATCCCCTGCACAGTCCCTCACACACAGAACCAGGCCTTAGCTTGGATCTTCTTCCATGATGAGGGAGGTCATGAGATAGGGGATGCTCCCAGCTCCTATCAGTCCCCCATTGCTCAGCTGAACCCCTGAACCTGGGGGCTGGATGAGCATTGACCCCCTAAGACTGCCAGACCTGGATGTTCCAATTTTTGGCCCTTTGGCTCCACAGCCCCCAGGGAGAACACATTCAGGGTCTAGGCATGTGACCACAGAGTGGTCACAGGGGCCCACCCAGTGGGCATCCAGGCCTATGTGGCCTCACACTGACTTCCCTGGGGCAGAGGGATTTGATTCTGAGATGATTCCTCTAGGCCCCCCAAGGCCCCTGCCCAAGTGTAGGTGCTTGTGAGTGGGAGAGTTAATCAGGGTTTCCTACTTCTAACCCACAGGGCATTTCGGCAGCACTCCTCTCCCTGAGGACAGAATTGGAAGCACAAAGCCAGCTATATTTTAAGGCAGGTGCCAGGTCTCCACGCTTCCGCTCCTGTATCTGGGAAAAGAGGCCCAGGAAAAGGCCCCTCCTCCTGCTGGCCTAGACAGGATAGAGAACACAGAGGGTACTTCCTTTCGGGGTTCCCGTGGCTTGCCCTCTTCCCCAAGGGAGGGGCCCTTCTTCCTCCATATTCAGTTAGTCCAGCCCACACTGAGTGACACTGGGCTATTTAAGGGTTTCCAACTCCGGTGCCCTGAGACACCAGAGAGATCCAGAGGGTCCCAATGGTGGAGGAGTCTGGAAGGGGGTGAGAGTCAGGCTGTGGGGCACAGATGCTGAGTGCACAGAATTGCACATCTGGCCCTGATGCAACCCATTACTCGATCCTGCCCATCAGGAACAGGGATGAAAGAACATGAGTGCAAGCGCGTGCAACACACACACACACACACACACACACACACACCCCAGTTTGCATGCACAGAGATGCTGGCAAAGTTCAGCATCTGCTTCCATAGGGTTCCTTCCATGAGCAGGGGATGAGGGACCTGCTGGTAAGAACTCCAAGGTGAATACTCTATGATGTGCCACCCACCCAGATCTGCCAGCTACACAGACAGGAGACAGGTGCATTTGAGGGCAAAGTAGACAGTCTCAAAAACACTAACAAACACAGGCACACATGTGAAAATACTCTCCTACTACTAAGTCAGGTACGATTATGTTTTCTCCCCCACCCAAATGAAAGACACCCCTAGCACTTAGACACAGCTAAGAGCTGGCTGCTGCCACTCCTCAATTCCTTTCAACCACAGCCACATCTCTGTCCCCCCACCCCACCCCACCCCCGTATCCCCCTCCGCCATTCCCAGGACAGAAAACTGGAGAGTCTTCCTTTCTCCTGCCTCTGCACTTTTCCCAGCCTTCTCCCCCAGCTCTTCCATCTTTATTAATAGCAGCAGCTTCCAATACTAGGGAAAGTCTGGGCTCTGCCTGCCCTGAGTGTTGGGGTGAAAGACACCAAGGGCTCATCTGTATCCCCTAGGTCTCTGCCTTTTCCACCCTAGTGGGGGGGAGAGAGAAATGGCTCCCCTCTCCACCCCCATACTTCCTTTAAGAAACCAGAGGCCCTGTCCTGGCACAAAACCCCACAGCTAGCCCATCTGATTGGAAACTAATTATATAGCAAATTTTATTTGCTCTCTCTGCCCTCAGTCTGCGGTGGCCCTCCTGCCTTTTGTTAGTTGAATGTGTATGTTTTTTAATTGCTAAACAGTGACTCATTCTGACTGGTCTCATCCCCATCCCTCTCCCTGCACCCCCCCCCCCCCACCCCACACAGGAAACAGACTCTGTGTACAACCTGCCTGGCTCAGAGCTTCCTCATACTCAAGCTCCCCACTGGCCTCAACCAGCCTCCAGGGGCCCCCACCCATGAACACTCCCAGTCCTAGCAAAGCCCAACCTCACCCCCATATCACACCCTGGCCCCAAGCTGGGGCTTCTGAGATGGCTCAGTCAGTCTCAGGCCAACCCCTTCCTTCTGGTATGACTCAACCCTGAAAGTCAGGGGACCAGGGAGGCACCAAGGAGGAGCCCCCCTCTACTGAAGGGGACGGAAGTATTGCCTCAGTCCAGAGCCAGGCCCAGAGGCCTGAGGGGGAAGGTGGTTTTGACATTGGCCACTGCTGCAGGGTGTATACAATGGGAGGGGATGCGGTTCCGTAATCACCCAGCCGGCAGCCCAGGGGAGCCAGCTGCCTGAAACCAGATTGCAAGGCGCCTCAACCTTAAACCCACAGGATTCTTTTTCCGTCTTCCACTTCCCCTCCCCAAATGTGGGAGGGCTGTGATAGAGGGTTGGGCTGAGAGAAAAGGGCTCAGGGTGAGGAAGACACATACTTTAAGGTTTATTCATGCAGATGCATGCAACACGGGCACACTGAGGGCAGCGCTTCTCACACATGGAGAGGGGCTATCCGGAATAACCCTAATGGCTGAGACTCTGTCCGTGACTGCCACCGGTGCCACCTAGATACCAGGAGTTCTGCTCTCCCTCCGGAAGCGCCCCTTCACCCCCCTCCATGTGTTTCCAATAGGGCTTGAAACTAACATGGCTGCTTTTGTTTACTTCCTCATTGGTATGCCAGCATCATGGATCATGTCAGCCACAGCAGCGGCACCAGGACACTCATTACATAAACAGCAGCTGGAGAAGCAGGACCTGGGTCACTGCCTTGGTGACTTCCCATAGGGCCTACAGAAACAACGCTGGGGGAAGGAGCTGAGTGCAAAACAGAAAAGCAACACCAAACTCGACCCCAAACATCCCCACACCTCAATTCTATAAATGACTCACAAGATGGAACCTGTGAGCACAGGTGCAGGAATCTATCAGTAGCAATTGGGAACCTTCTCATACCTTGTCCCCAAACTTTCAGAGCACAAGAGTGTGAGTAGCAGGAGGCCTCTGGCCTGATGTCAGAAGCATCAGCCTTTCAGATGAATGGTCCCCAGGCGGGAGGGGAAGGGAGGAAAGGAGAAGGGGGTGGGGGGTCGCTGGGAGGGAGGGGAACAGGGGGGGAAGGGGGAGAGAGAGAGAGAGAGAGAGAATGAATCTGAAGGTTACTTGCCCGGATCTCATTCCTCCGGATCTCCACGTCGCACACCGAGTGTCCCTGATGCGCACCGCTGTAGTAGCAGCAGTACTGGCACACGGCCACCTGCTCGGCCTCGCAGTGATAGAGGCGGTAGGCGTTGTGCTGCGGGCAGCTCCAGGCCCGCACGTCGTCCGCCTCCACCAGGAGGTGCCCGCGGGCGGTGGAGGGCTGCTGCAGGTGCGTCTGCACGTGGGACTGGCAGCAGGGCGCCTCGCAGCGCAGGCAGACCTTCTGCGCGGGCAGCGGGGGGCCGCGGCGGCAGAACACGCAGTGCAGTGCCGTCGGCGGCTTCTCCACGTGCAGGGCGTTGAACTTCTCCACGATGTTGGTGAGCTTCAGGTTCTTCTCCAGGCCCGGCTTCTGGTTATAGGCCTGGTTGCACTCAGGGCAGCGCACTAGGCCGCTGTCCTTGGCCCACGCCTCGCCGATGCAGCCCCGGCAGAAGTTGTGCTTGCACGGCAATTGCACGGGCTCCACGAAGACGTGCAGGCAGATGGGGCAGATGAGCTCCTCCTCGAAGCAGTTCTTCCAATTCTCCGCCATGACGGCCAAGGGCAGGGGGCCGGGGCCGGCCTCCCCGACTCCCCAGCCCTGGGGGTCCGTCCGGTGCAGCTGCCGGCCGCCGAGCCCGGCGCTCCGGCCCCGGGCGGCCCCGACAGTCGCTCAGTCACCCGCGCCTTCCGCGCGCCGCCCCCCGGAGGAGGAAGCCTCGGTCCTCACGCCGCTCGCGCCGCCGGCGGCGTCTCCTCCTCCCGCCGAGCGCCTAGCGGGAGGCGGCGGACTGCGCCGGGGCCCCGGCCGGGGCACCCGCCCTGGAGGGGAGCGCCGGGGTCCAAATTCCATATACGAGGCCGCTTCCCCGTCGGCGCTGCTAGGGCAGCGGCGGCCCGCGGCCTGCGCGCGGCCCCGCGGCTGACATTGGGGCGCGCCCCGCAGCGGACCGAGCCGGGGGGCCGCGCTCTTCCTCCCGCGGCGGCGGCGCGACGGCGGCTCCCCCCGGCTCGCGGGCGCCGCGCCTCCCTCGCCGCGTCCGGGGTCCGAGAGGCGGGGCGGCGAGAGCGGCCGCGCCGAGGGCGGCTAGATCCCGGCCGGGCGGGCGCGGCGAGCCGGCCGCCCCTGGGCCCTGGCGCGGGCGCCCCCCGGCTGGCCCGCCGGGAGCGGCTGGGGGCTGCGGGGCGCGGGCGGGCCGGCTCCGGGGCGCTGCGCGCGCGCGGGGACAGTCATTCAGATGAAATTCCAGTCCCGGCCGGAGACACCAGCCCGCCTCTGCTTCCTCCTCCCTTCACAAATAGAAACGGAAGGGGGAGGGAGAGAAGTGGAAAAAAAAAGCCGCGCAGCGCGGGAGGGGGAGCCCCGGCGCGCTCCGGCCTGACCCCCCGGCGCTACTCGTGCGCCCCCAGGCCCGGCGCCCCCGCCGCGAGCCGACCCCGCGCCCCGGCTCCGAGCTGGGCGGGCGCCGCGGCTCCGCCGGGGAAAACAAGGATTGATCAAACTAGAAAGGAATTTTTCTCAACTGCTAATGAACAGGAGGCTCGGCTCCCGGCCCTCCCCTCCCCCGCCGGCCCTCCCCCTCCGCCGCCCCGGCCCGCCTCCCCCCACTTTCTTTTCTTCTCGGCCTCTGCTCCGGCCTGGACGGCTCCGGGCGGCGGCGGGGCCGGGCCGAGCAGCCGGGCCCGGCCGCCGGCTCAGCGCCCAGCCATCTTGGGCGCCGGCGGGAGCGCGCCCGCCCGACGGTCCTGCAGCGCCTTCGCGTCTCCCGGCGGGGCTCTTTTAAGGGGGCGAGCTGAGGGCCCCCCTCGAACTGGGAGAGAGGAGAGAAGATGCCAAGGCGGCCCGCTGTCTTTCCACCTCTGCTCCACCCACCCCGGTCCTTTCCAAAAAATGAAAAAGGATGAGAAGGGGAAGGAGCCTGCGGCGAGCAGGGCGCCCGCGGACCCCGCGGCCCGGCGCCGCGTCCGGGGCGGCCGCGCCGGCTGCTCGGGGCGCGGGTCCGGCGGGGCGCGCAGCTTCCCGGCCGCGAGGAGGGCGCTCCGGGCAGGGCCTCCGCCGCGGCTGGCGCCTCAGGGCTTTATCCTCAGATTAAAAAAAAAAAAAAAAAAAAGAGGAAGGAAAAAAACCCCAACACTCATCATAGGCACCTTCAGCCATCTTGCGCGTATTATTATTTCAGGAATAATCTGTTTAATAAAAATAGCTGCGTCTCTAGCCCCCTCCCCCGCATCCTGGGCTCCCGCCCCCTTTTAATAATAATCTCGATAATAAAAATGATGTGCGGGCTGGGCAGTCCGCGGCTGCCTTTTCCTGCCTCGGCTCGCTCGAGCTCCGGTTCTCCTTCCCCAGGAAAGGGGCGTGGGGGTTCGCCGCCGGTGCAGGCGGGGGTGCGTTCCCGCCGGCCGCCCCGGCCCCCTCCTCCTGGAGCCGGCGACGGCGCCCCGGTCCCCGCCGCGCTGCTGCGGGGGGGCGGGCGGGGGAGGGGCCGGCTCCCGGGAGCGGCTGGAGGGGCGCACGGAGGTCCCCGAGCTTCCCGCCACGGCCCGGCCTCGGGCTCCGCAGCCGGGGTGGGGTGGGGGTGGGGAGGGGGGCGGGGTACAATGAGCTCAGAGCAGCCACAGGGTGGGGACGCGGGCGGGCCGGGGGCTGCGGCGAGCCGGACGCCAGCGCTGGGAGCCGAGGCGGAGGGTGGCGTCCCTACAGCAAGGCCGGGCCCGCTATTTGGGAAGGGGCGGGGACACGGAGAGGGGCAGCGGGAGAAAGCGGCGGCGCCTTTAATCAGCGCCCGCTGGTCCTGCCCACCCAGCGAGGGACCGAGCCGCGGCCGGGGGGCGGGGCGCGCTGTCCGGAAGTGCCGGTCCAGCTGCGGCGCCTGGCCCCGCCCCCTTTCCCTGTCTGGAGTTGGGGCTGGTCCAGAGGAGGCTCCTGCTATTGGCCCCATAATGAGGCTCCGCCCCTTTAAGGCGGAGCAAGGGGAGTCTCACGTGATTTGCACTAACACCGGTACATTAAACTTTGGGGTGGAAGGTGGGGGTTCTGCGCCTCTTAAAAGGGCGATGTTGCAGCTGCGACGTGGGAACACTCCTTGCTGGGCCTCTGCAACCGCAGCTCTTTTTACCTGCGAGAGAAAGGAGGGTTTGCTGGTCTGCGCTTCTGTCTGGTGGAACTGAGCAGGGGAGTGGCTAGGGTTTACTGTGCAGCAATGTCTTGATGTCCTTAATACTTGCCCCTACATTTCTGATGATTAAAACTACCCAGCAAGATAGGTATTCTTATCCTCTTCTATGGGTAAGGAAACGGAGGCTTAAAGAATTGACGCAATCTGCCAGAGGTCAATTGGTCAGTTAACAAATATGTAACAAAAGCCTTTATGTGCCAGGCATTTTTCCAGGCCCTGGGGAGTCCCTGGAAAACATGTACAAAAACACTTTTGAGTTAAATATGTAGGACAGACGGTTTCTGTGAGGCACATTCAGGGCTCTTCAAAAAAGTGACATTTAAGCTGAGACCTAAATGTTCAGGAAATCAGCAAATTGACAACCCAGGGGAAGAATACTTCAGTTAAGGAAAAACAAATGCAAAAGCAATAGATAAGGCATGCTCCACTGCAGAAGAAAGGCTGTGTAGTGAGGGAGAAGACAGGGAGGGACCAAATACACATGGCCTTGGAGGTCTTGATAAGTTTAGACTTGAAGCTGGTTGTAATAAGATGTGAAATCTGAGATATATTTTGGAAGGAGAGCCAATAGGACTAGATAAGGATTAGACATGGGATTGAGAGGAATCCTGCAGTAACAATAATGAGGAATTGGCTCAAGATATGCTTATCAGGCCTCCCTGGTGGCGCGAGGGGTTAAGACACATCACTGTGAAGCTGTTACAGGGCAGGGAGAGGGGCAGCCCAAACCCTGCAAACCTGCCTATTCTAAATGGGTTCTGCCATCCACTGCATCAACACAAAACATATAAGACTTTAATGGGAAGGAACTTTAAATACAATTAGAAAGAAAACAATACAAAAAAGGCAAAGAATATAGTTTCTAAATCAAGCACCCAATGTTACCCATCCCCTCGTGGGTAAAAGTCCACCCAAGCAGGATTGGCCCAAAGCCAGGCCCCAAAGCCTGCCACATGTCTAAAGCATCTTCCAGTGAGGACCCACAGAAAAGGATCAGAAACCACCAGACAAGTCTAGAAGGAAAAGAGCAAAATCTAAATCAAGACAAAAACCACCATGGTCACCTCCCCATGGGTCTCTCACCCACATCTGTGTCACCCAGTCTACGACCAAAAGGCAAACGCAGTTTCTTCACATGTCTCTCCATTCCATGTGCCTCCTCCAGGTCTCCTCCTGCCTGCCTCTCCACCCTGCTTCCTTCCTTCTTCAGTCTCCTTTACAGCTTCTTCTCTCCCTGCTCAGCTCCACCCTGCACTTGGGTGGGGCAGGGAACCTGGAACTTCCCCCTTTCCCGTGGACCACCCTGTTACAATGCTATCCTCAGCCACTGCAGCACCAGTTTGATTCCCGGCCAGGGAGGTGACCCACATGGCGCAGCAGACCTCTCATGTCTTACCCACTGCTCCCCTCAGCAGTATATTTCAGTCAAACCCGCCTGTTCTGTTCCCCACTCTGTCTCTGGTGAATCCTCTCATCCCCTGCACCTCTGGCCTAGACCCCTGTACTTGTATGCATAAACAAATAAATCTTATTTTTAAAAAATATCAGCTCTCTGCTCTAGTGGCTTCCACATCAACCTGAAAAAAATCACAGGTTTTTAAAAATATTTATTTATTTATACAAGAACTAGGGTATAGGCCAGAGGTATAGGGGGTGAGAAGATTCACCAGAGACAGAGGGGAGAGCAGAATAGGTGGATCTACTGAAATACACTGCTGAGGGGAGGAATGGGCAAGACAGGAGAGGACTGCTGCACCATATGTGGGCCAGCTCCCTGGCTGGGGATCAAACTCAGGCCACAGTGTGACAGGCCTCCAAAAGTCACAATTTTACAATTTCCTGCAAGGTCCTATACAATTTGGCCTCTATAAGTAATCTCCTATTATTCCCTTCTCTCACTCTGCTCCAGCCACACTGCCTTCCCCCATTGCTCTTCAAATATACATGGTGTGTCTCTCCTACTCCCTCGGGTCTTTTACCAGTGCTCTTCACTTTGTATGGACCTTTGCTAATACATCTTCCTATCACTGAGATCCTTTGTTCAAAAGTCACCCGGTGCAGTAGGTGAGGTCCCCTGACCTTTGGATTTAAAAATGTACCCTGCCACAGCCCTTACTATTGCTCCTGTTTTATTTTTTCCTTCATAGTACATATCTCTGTGCCATGTATTCTACTTAAAAATAAATAGCTTGTCCATCATTAAAACAAGATCTGTGAAAGGAGATTTTTTAAAAAAATATTTATTTATGCATACAAGAACTGGAGTATAGGCCAGAGGTGTGGGAGGTGAGAGGATTCACCAGAGACAGAGTGGGGAACAGAACAGGCAGATCGACTGAAATACACTGCTCAGGGGAGCAACGGGCGAGGCAGGAGAGGTCTGCTGCACCATGTGGGTTGCTCCCTGGCTGGGGATTGAACTTGTGCTGCAGTGGCTGCAGATAGCCTCATA